GTGACTTTTCCAAAGTATGTACGAAGCCTCGGATGATTTCGTTAAAAATTTTTAGCGATAAATCTATACATGAGATAGATAGATATATACAAGAGATCAAATAATTTATCCCAGATAACACCTTATGATGTTGCAGGTATCTTTGATAAAGCATACATTAGAGTGGCCTCAATAGACAAAGCAATATCAGGTTTTAGATGTACTGGCATTTTTCCGATTCAGCCAAATAGGTATTTTTACTGACACAAATTTTATGTACGATTGTCAGCCACCAGTTTGCGTAGATGTACAAGATAATCTTGAGGATAACACAGATATAAACATCCCCACTCGTATGACTCACTCACGAAGTCCCCCAAATAAGACATTACTAGATGCCGTTCCTTATTTGCCTCAACCCGGATGTTCAAGTTCAAGGGATGACGAAACTACAGACAGAAGCCTAAACACTTCATCAATTTCTGATATTATTTCAATGGTTTCCCCCGACCCAGAAATACCAAAGAACCTAAAAAGAATTCAAAACAAAAACAATAATCATCAAATTCGGAAAGTGAAACAGGATTGTGTGATGACGAAGAATTTGATGATCTTGATGATGACGGAATTCGATGTATTATTTGTGACGATATTGGAAAAAATGAATTGTGGTATCGGTGCACTAGTTGTGGAATTTGGGCACATTCTGAATGTTCAGGTGTAGAGAGTCCTGAAGGATATATTTGTGACTTTTGCGTGGTCAGGTAGAATTAGAGTTTTTCATAAAACCGATAGTTAGCACAAATCTAATAAACAGCTTTGATACAATAGCGATGCAGATTTTGAAATTTTGCCTGGTACGGGATAATTTATGAAGATATGGAAAGGAATATTCAAATGGAGAAAATGATTCTCAGCAATTTGCGGGAACTTTATGAGTAATTATTTCAAAAGGGATTATAAAGGCCTCAAAATATCTTTTTTCATGAACGACAGATTTGGGTTGGATAGATATGATCCAATTTTATACGCGATCAACACTTTCCACGATCCACTACAACCACCTAAAATTATGAAATTTCGTAGTCTTTTCACGTTTTGATAATCAGATCTTGTCATCTACTCATTCACAAGTTATTATCAGATTCCTCATTGAAATTATTTGATGAAATTATCCTGGGCTTCGGTTTACATCTGGAATGAAATCTATACTTGTTCTCTCTATTATTATTATTGTTGTTACCATGTTTGTTTCTCAGATGTCCAAGAAACATAACTCTGAAATTCATTTTTTCATGTTGAGACATTTGATTATTTATTTTACGTTTAAATATGGCTCAAATTCGAGTTTCTTTGTGGCTAATTCCGCTCTAGTTAACAAATAGTACGTGAGAAAAAAGGGTGTCTTAAACATACGTCCTAAAACGAAATTCGGTCTGTTACTTCAACCTCGGAGGCAAGATCATGGTCGAGTTAGTCATGGGCTGCTTTTCTTTGAAATAATATTAATCAATTTTGACATAATATTTTCTATTTTAACATAAACATTCCCGTATGTGGAATGAAATTTAGTTGTGTTACTTTCACCTCCCAAATATAATCCATAAGAACTGTCAACCATGTTTAAAAATTCATATATTATATCAATTCACTCCAAAAAACTTTGGAGTGCAAATAAAAACATTAATTTGTTTCCAGCATATATACAGATTTATTCGTGATTTCGTGAACGGTAAGAGATAGAGGAGTCGCTCATAATGTGAAGTTGCCTTTTTTCGAGTATTATTAATTGGTTCAATAATCGAGTCGAGGTCTGGCTCTTTTGGTTCCGGAGATTATGGAGACAAACGGAAAATTGAATATACCTAGTATTTTTGAATGTATTTTCTTTATTCGCATGAATATTGGAAATTTGATTATACTTTATCATGGTACTTTCAAAATACGTTCGTGGGTATGGTCAGACTTAACTATGATATTGAATACCGTGATAGCTGAAATGGTGAGACAAAAGTTAATTCCTAAAGTTCTAGGAAAAGCTCAATGACAATATTAGAAGGTTGTGATATCAACACAATTTTTACTTGGTGCTTCATTGAGGAATTGAAATAGAGAGCATTTTTCTAGACTCGCCTATTGAACTTCAAGAAACGTTGCTTCTCTTCCATTCGAACGACTATCATGGCTGTAAAAACGCTATTTCATTTGGTGCCAACTTTCTGAAGAATGTCGGTGAAAAAAATTCATCAATATTGAATGAACATTGGCAATGAAAAATCTGCCACGAAAAATACAGATACGAATTTGAAAGTTTCGAGATAACCACATCACTTCTGTATGCAGGAGTAAAGTTTTGAACTTGCCATCCATTTCTTCACACATCAAGGAGAATACTCTTGTGTTTAGAGCTCTAGCCTTTATAAAGTTAATAACTTTCACAGCATCTGATAGGACAGAGTTGAGATTTTCCGGCATACCTTTAGCAGCTAATGCTTCTCGATGGATGACTCAATGCGTACTTTCGCATTCAGGAGCAACTTCTTTCATTTTTACTGCCCCATCTGTTCACAAGCCAATACACTTGGACCAGAGAATGCCTACTTTGAGCACATATTCATCAATTACCTTGAAAATGAGTTAGTTCCGCTGTGGTATTTGATTCGAGTGGTTTGCAGAAAAAAAAGTCTTCTATCACCTCTTCATTATAATCAAATCGCACGAAAACAATTAGCTGCGCCATGTTTGTAACATCAGTGCTTTCGTCAACTTGAAGTGCAAAATAAGTGCATTCTTGGAGTTTCAAAGCCAGTTGTTTTTCAATATTATTAGATATATCGTCAATTCGTCTTTTTACTGTGTTATTTGACAGTGGTATTTTTTTAATTTCTTTGGCTGCCTTTTCTCCTAACATGGCTTGAACTATATTCACAGCGGCCGGCAGTAAAAGCGTCTCGCCTATTGTGTGAGGCTTTCCATCTTTTGCAATTCTTAAACTAGCAAGGTATGACGCCTTTCTCAAGTTAGTATCAGTATTGACAAACTTCGTCAAACAATCAGTATTGACAAACTTCGTCAAACATTGGGTTGCTTTCTTTAAAAAATTAGATTTTCTTTTAAAAAATTCAATTGGCTTACCAATCAAATCAGACATACAACACATTGAGGAATAGGAATGTCACTGGTTTCAGTCCCTGACTTCACTGTAAAACCGTACTGTAAGTAGCTTTCATCGTATTTACGATTGGCCGGTAACTTAGGTTTTTTAGCACAATCATTTGAAGTAGAAGAGGACGTCAGAAATCATTTCATAGTTCAGTTTCTTATACGAAATCAGAATTGATAATTACAACACCCACAACGAACCTGTAATGCCAAGTGAAAGTAAAAGACAATCTTTTTTAAGACCCACAGGTAAAAAATGAAACACCCTTTGTTTACCAATTGTACCATCTGGGGATTCCTAGGTAAAATTCCTAAAGTGTTTCATTGTTTTATTACCTAGGAATTATAAATTCCAATGTAATAGAAAAACAAAGATGTCAGGTCGTTCACTGGGTTATGGGTATTTCGTTTTTCTAGCGACCCGTGAGCTGAGTCATGCTTGCTATCAACAGCATGTTGCTCACATCACTCAGGTGTACCACCTGAAACGTTCCACTGGTACCACTGGTGGTACGCGTACCACCGGTTGGGAACCCCTGCTCTATGGTAATGTGTAATCAGATTTAAAGTATATTTGACAATGAAGAAGATACCAAAAAATGATTATTTTTTTTCTTTTTCATTTATCTACGGAATCAAAATAACTAAAGTCGATTATTGTGTATCATTCAATAGTATTGTAACACAGACAACTTTGCCTCAATTTAACCAACTCTTTAATATATTTTATTTAAAAAACCCTTGCATAGCTCTCTGTGGCGTGATTTCTTTTATGATTATCGACAGTTCTATTTAAGAGACACCAGTATATAGCTGTTTCAGCCTATTGGGCATCATCAATGCCGTGCAGGCATTTGACTGAAGGTGACTTATGGAAGTCAAGAAGAGTACGTCAAGTTTAGTATTAAAGGAATGCGAGACATACGCAGAACTACATAACGGTGATACTTAATATTGGTGTTGTTGTCCATTTCCATAAGTTGTCTGCTACACATCTTTATAAAGTAGCAGACACTTCGGTGTGTTGGAATTGAATTTGTTCTCTGAAACTAACAGAACTAAACTGTCGTAGACAGATTGTTGAAAATGAATTGAAACAAACCCATATAAAGTGTCATTATTTTTCAGGTTTGAAGCCCGTCGATTTTTGGAATTTCTTCCGTTTAGCTGGCGCGAGTGACTAGCTTCCTCAGAGGTTTTTACATCCTGAATTATCTTCGATAAAATAACTCAGGATTCATAAACCTCAGAAAAACCTAGCCACTCTCGCCAGCGAAACGTCAAAAAGAAATTCCAAAAATCAACGGCCTTCAAACCCGAAAAAAAGTAGAACTGAAAATCTCGGCCGCGATAGCCCTAACCATTTTGTCAAAAACCCATATGAAGTTTTCTAGCCACATTAAAGTTCACCCCGTACGAATACCAATACCTACAAAAATCTGGAAACAAAAAGTATTTGACATAATGCTAATGGATATTTCAGGAAAAACAAATATTGGTGGCATATGATGGTTACTTCTACTTTCTTATTGACCAAGGGATGATCATGCCTACTATTATGGAATTTTAGTATAGATCATTCAGAATTTTTTCAACAGCATCCTATGAATGTGTGCAATGTATTCAATTTACTATTTATTGTGTGGATATTTGAATCTGTTCTATTAGAATAATTAACACATATTGAATATTTGAATTTGGATATTTTCATATTACGTAAACATCGTTCATGCTTTTGATTGTGCCTCTGCCTTACTGAAAGAAAGAAAAAATTGGTCGAAATTTCAAGAAGTGCTACTTTTGCCAAGAATGAACTAGTTTAAATTATATTAGTACTTCTTCCACTTCTTCCATTCATCTCAGTGTTTCTATGAATTTATTGTGAAGGAAATTCCGCCAATTCAATCATCTCTGTGAAACGAATTAATGGTAAAAAACTATAAAAATACTTGATAGTATTATTCGAGAGAAGTGAAAATCGCCTAATTTGTTGAGTTGAGCCTGAATAAAAAAAACACCTATTTTTGATCAATTTCTGTTAGGTGAATGAATATTAGTTGAAAACCAGAGCCCATAAATAACACAATAATGATTCAACACCAGACACCGCTTTTTCGACCTGCCATAGATCTCGTCAGTTGTGCTAGGCTGAACCACAAATGCATCGCTGGACTCAACTGTGACATCTCCACTCACGAAGACGCAATATATGGGACCGACAGAGAACTCAATCCTCGGATATCAAATATAAACGATGCTCTCCAATTCTGTGAAATACCTGCTACCCAACGTTCGTAGTCATTTGAACCTTGTATACTTTTTCGCAATACCTAATATCAAAAATTAATGTAATACATCTAAAAGCTCTTCAGTCTATTTTCTGAGAGAATGCCACATTGCTACAGGTTTTCTGAGGGCGGTCAGCATCTGATTCCAATGACTGAGAGAGCGGCCGCTAGCTTGAGCCCCCACTATTACATGTCCTATTGGAAAAGTCTTGGGATTCTCTTCTGTAGAACATTCAGCCACAGTTAAACGTAGTTGGATTGTCTGAAATCATGAAATCATGGAGATTGAAAAGATCATATTAAAATTTTCCATTTTTGTTAAGGAAAGTTCAGATTTTGCTGGATGGGTTGAGAGAAATCCTATACTACTGAACCACAGTAAAAATAATCAACCAGTAAGTCAACTCCCACTCCTTTTGTTCCTAAATTCACAAAGTTCTCGGTGACCTCGAAACAAAGTGCAGAGCCGATTGCGTTTTTTCACCATAGGCGTGCGCTTGTATGAAAACGAAATTTAAGGATATTATAGAAGACTTTGTGGTAAGTTACTTATTCTGTACGGCGATTTCACCGACTCTTCAAGAGCCCAACTCTTGAAACATGCGGTCCACACATATGTTGATATCGCCGTTCGGCCACCCCGAGCAAAAAATCCGGCCGTTGACTATTTAGAAAAATTTTCACCGCAGTTTCAGTTGTGTATTTTCTTTTTGTTTCATTTTCTTTCTCTCTTATCTTGAATGATTTTTTTCTATAATGTTGATACATATAATATAATGTGTTGCAAATAAGTACACATGTGAAATAACAAAAGACAATATTTTGGGGATGAAGTTGAAGTAGAAGGGATGGCCAAATCTAATAATGGTGTGTCGTATGTCCCAGAGGTTCCTAAAGTTGAAAATGAGAAAACAGTAAAAGGCATTGTTTAATATTATTTAATAACATAATCATTATAAAGGACATTATCATACCTATCAGTACTTTACTTTGATGTCCAGATAAATATTGTTGGTACAGCATTCTGTCGTAGACGTTTTTTCTTATGGCTACTTATTTCAAATTGACTGCCACGTGAACGATAACTGCTTTTGTACAGTGTTTCAAATTTGTTAAACAAATAAACAAACCAGGTCTGCAGCATGCTTGCAGCTATATTTTTCCCTAGAATGAAAATCATACAGATTGAACAAGTTATTAGGTACTTTCTTACCTTTCGGGATCTATTGGTTTCTATAANTTTTTTCTGTACAAGAAGTAAACTATCATTGATATGATCGTTAAGTAAATCACTAAAGCCCATATATTTGGTGATTGGTAAAGTCCGCCATGGTTGAATGCTATTTCAGGATTTTTATCAATTAGCTGGTTTTTCAATTGAAAACTCATATTTACACTTCTTGGAGGGTTGCGATCTTGGTTCAATTCGGATATCAATATTATTTTATTGCTATTGATTACATTTTCTTCATTGATTATTTCGATTTGATTCGCCCTAATTTTGCAATCTACTGGAATGTCGATTAAGTAGGATCCAATTATTCTTTGAACTTCCTCTTATTCATTACATTGTAGGTTTATTTGGAAATATCGCTATCCATTGGGTAGATTCCTCCAGTTGGTTATCTATTGGCTTAGTAATCCTAACATCTATTTGTCTACATATGGAAGTCTACATCTTCAGGAGTTGCAGCTCACAGAGATTTCCAGACATTTCTCTAATTGGCATTTTCTTACAGACATAGAATTGTGGTTCGACTTTGAAACAATCGTCGCTTTTAAATGTGAAACATTCTGAGTTCTTCAGTAAAAATGAATTTTTGTATATAAGTACCTTGAACTGACTTTGACTTTATGTGTGGATTGAATATAAGTGATAGTAATCGAAAATGTATGGATATGTGATGGAACACGAAGAAGAAATAAGGTTATACTATTATTCAGAATAAAACATTCGATGTTTATGATTTTCTCTAATTTCAAGACGATTTCTAAAGTGATGTCAATAGGAAATTGATTCTTTGCAATACTTCCGTGTAATTTAAGAAGTTCGGCGTATAAGTCAGTGGGTTTCACTATGCTTGGATGCACAATGTTGAGTTTCGCGAATGCTATGGAATTTTCAATATCCTGTAAAGCAGAGTTGACTACTTCAAACATATCAATAATTTGGTTGAGTATATCATGAACATATGCTCTATTTTCTTGATAACCCTTTGTTTGGAATATAGCAGCAACATGACTATCTTTTCTCGAAGAAGTTTTTCATTGTGAATTATTTGTTGAATAGTTTGATTGAATTATTTGATCAAATTGATTGAAACTGAATTTTGTTTCACAATACTAGAAGCCAATACATTTTGGTTGTTTTGATAGGATGGCTTTCGTATTTACTTCGTTGACAGATTCCACACTCGTTAATAAAGATTTGGATATCTTTCATATTGGGCCAATAATAAAGGGTTTTGAGTTCGTCAATACCTCCATGATTACTTTTACCTTTGTGATATGCCTGTATCAGTTCTAAAGCTTCTTTTTTATCTGTGACATCGATTAGTTTGATTTTACATCTTTTGAATTTTAATGTCTAATTATTTCACAAAATCGTTCATAATTATCTGAATTTTCAAAGTAAAGATGATAAGGTATGTTAGGTGCGATATATTCTTTTACAAAATCGATTACTTCTCTTTCAAAGTTATTTAAAAAAAGCTGAACAGTTATTCTCTGTTTCTTCTCAAATAAGATCGTTATTTTTGGTTTGAATGGTGAATGAAAAACAGATTGGAAAATAATTTGGTTTTTACCAAAATTTACTGTAGATTCTGAAATGGGTATGTCAACAATTGGATTTTATATTTTCAGTTTTCGCTGGAAAAGAAGATGACGCCATAATTCGATTCGATCCAATTGGATAGTGCTTTAATTAGGTACTTTATTATCTGAAGAATATGAGTTAATGATAAAGCCCTTGCGTGTGTGAATTAAAATGGCTACTTCAGTTTTCTCTTGAGTACAACGAATAAGCATGTATGCTTTTCATGTTAAAGAAAAGATGACTATTCTCAATGTATATGAAGCCTAGTGCAGACCAAAATCCTTCATATACCGTTGATACTCTGGTGGAAATGTATGTGTATATAAATTCATGAATGAGATAAAAAATGAAGCTGTGAAATCACCAAAACCATCTTTAGGAAGAATAACTGTGCCTGTTGATGAAAACTACAAACTTGCAATCAGAAGAACAGTACATTCATTTTATTTCAAGATAGAAATACCGACCCTCGACAAAAAAATGGGAGCCTTGAAAGAAGACCAAAGTATGTTTACCATGATAGATAAAAAGAAATTGTGGAAATCTTTGAAAGAATTGAATTTCACCTGAAAAAAAATAAATAAAATGGCTTTTAATAGAAAATGATGAAATTATTTGCTGGACGAGACATTACGTGAAACAGATAAGAGAGTTTCGACGTGAATTAACTATCGGCGGCACTAAACTTGGTTTTCAAAAATACTTTTATTGTTACAAAACTTGAAAATCAAAAATTATAGAAATACAAAATATATATTGGTGCAACATCGAAGTACTTTTTTTCTGTACAAGAAGTAAACTATCATTGATATGATCGTTAAGTAAATCACTAAAGTCCATATATTTGGTGATTGGTAAAGTCCGCCATGGTTGAATGTTATTTCAGGATTTTTATCAATTAGCTGGTTTTTCAGGTTTTGGAGTTCTTTCAGGTCAACATCGTCCAATTGAAAACTCATATTTACACTTCTTGGAGGGTTGCGATCTTGGTTCAATTCGGATATCAATATTATTTTATTGCCATTGATTACATTTTCTTCATTGATTATTTCGATTTGATTCGCCCTAATTTTGCAATCTACTGGAATGTCGATTAAGTAGGATCCAATTATTCTTTGAACTTCCTCTTATTCATTACATTGTAGGTTTATTTGGAAATATCGCTATCCATTGGGTAGATCAAACCCTTGCTATGCCACTATTGTGAACTGGTGAACCATATAACTGAGAAATTATGTTGTGTCTCACACAGTGTCTCCCAGAATATCGGAAAATGTATTTTCGAGAAAATTTACGAATAATCGTCCGTTTAGATTTTGATCGAAAAAAATGGCCCGATAATATTATAGTTCAGAATACCACACTCCAAATAATTTTTTGAGATATTTGTTCTCTACAATTCACCACCAAATTTTGATTTTGTTCAGCCCACAATCTCATGTTCTGGGAAGATACAACATCATTCGTGGTAAAGGTAGCCTCATCACTGTATAAGATATACTTTAGATAATTTCTGCCAATGAGATAATTTCGCTGCATCCATAAACAATTCTCTATACGGCGGATTTCATCTCCTTCGTGCAAAGTATGTAGAAAATTGGGTTTGAACGCATGCATTTTATGCCTCTTTAAACACCTCCATATTTTACTGCGGCTCATATTGAGTTGAAGCGATAAGTTTCTCAAACTAATTCTAGGATCAGCTTGATAAGCCGCCAGTATGGTATCATCTTGAATATGTTGTTTTACAATTTTTCTGTCCTTTGTTACTTGGCCGGTGTTCACGAAAAGATTATATATTTCAAGGACAGTTCCAGGGTGTACAACTACCTCTATTAAATTCAGCGGCCGCTTCACGGTAAAACCTGGCGCCTTCACCAAAAATTAAAACATTTTCAGTTTTTTCTTGAAGTGACTGACTTGCCATGTTGAACTCTGTTAATCAAAATGAGCTGATATCAGTTAAAATAGGAACTTCAGAAATATTAAGATATGAACAGGAACTCACGAACAGGAACTCACGAACAGAAAACAACACATACATGAACTATATCCAACACAGGAACAATGAACACACTGGGAAATAACACGGCAGAAACAATAGGAACAACAGTGATACAAGGAACTACAATACTAGAAACAACAAGTACAATGAAAACTGGTCTGGGGTTAGGTTAGGTTAGGTCAAAAGTGAGTGGGTCTATTAGTCTCTCCACCGCAACCCGCAAGGGTTTATTGTGGCTCACACCTATTCACACTCGACCAAATAAACCCAGCTCCTTAACGAAGCCAATTAGTTTGTATGGTGAGTGGTCTTTCAGGTCAGATGGTTAGAGTACGGCTCTGCCGTACTCGTAAAACCTGATTCGGTCCCCAGCGGGGCAGGCACAAAGTATATGCTCTGCTATGCCATATGCTATGCTATTTCATCGTTAATGAGGTAGTCGGATAGTCACGGTGCAAGATTCCCACCTTGATACCCGTGACAACCTGACGATGCCTTAGATTCAACCGTGCAGGGCGTTTTTGCCTCCGGTTTTGGTGAATTATCACGAGCGCAAACGTTTGCTAACATGCTCATGGGGGGTTTGTTTCTCCACCTGAGACAGATTNGGGGGGTTTGTTTCTCCATCTGAGACAGATTCTGCGTATGCCGCAGATGCAAGGCGGTTTTATAAGGTACCCCGCTCTTGAGGAGAGGACTAAGTCGTTTACTGGCTGTCACACCAAACCTTTTTTTTTAGGTTCAGTTATTGGATCAGGAGTTGGATGGTTGAGAAGCTCTCGCTCCTGAACTAAATTTACAGGAAGGTCAGTTGGAGACGTAAACTCGACATCCATATCCTCTGTAGACTCGCTCCTGATTTGGGGTTCGGAGGCTTATCTGGGGTCTGGGGGTTAATACAACATTTCAACACTATTGTCAAGTTGACAGTAAAGATCAATGAATAACTGGGTAATCTCTGGGTACCACATAAGTTTTATTCAGAGAAACTGATGTAATTCTATCCCTTTAAATGATTTCAGACAACAATTCAGCAAGTAGGTAAAATAACATACATTCTACATGTTTACCAAATGTGACTTTTTCTTNTGCTGTGTTTTTAAATAGTTCATTTTGTGAAAAAGAAGGCTGAAAAGTCTCCCTTTTCTGAACTTTGAAGGGCCGTAACTTTGTAAATCACGGATTCGTAATCTACGCATCAAAATACGTAAGTACACTTAATTTTTTTTTCAAAATTGCCAAGTGCCCTCAAAACGAATATAAATTTATATATTTATTATGTTATTAGGTGAATACCTAATGTTAGGTAGGTATTCCAGATTGAGTCATTCACGCCAAAAGTTTTTCGCCGTCTATTCTCGACATATTTTGATCGGGCAGAGGAAGCGAATAACTTTCGATAGTGCAGACAAATATGGAATAGACTAATGCGATCAAAATCTACCTGAATATCACGAGTGAGGATCCACAGATGTAAAATTACTTGTAAAAAATTTTCATTTCCATCCAATGGACTAACAGTAAAGCAAACGTGTTCACTCACCGTAACATAAAAATTTCTAATCCAGTATTCACACAACACATACACACTGACGCCGTTACTATTTAAAGATTCTTATATATTCACAAAAGTAATTAAAAAAAATCACTGAACTTTGATGCGTTTGCATACATAACCTTAAATAATATTTTATATCAGTGTGATAATGGTTTACATCTACGTTGAAAAATATACAACACTGTACCGTCACACGAACAGCGATATTAATGGTATCTAGCGTTCTTTTTGAAAAGCGGCCCACGTAAACATACTGGTCGACAGTTTTGCTTGAAAATTCTACACGAGAGAATTGCTACACCATCATATAGATATCCTGAAGTCTAGGCACACTGCGACAGGGTGGCACAGTTTTTCTCTTTCTGTAGTTTCTCATAGAGTAGCGCACATTAAGGCAGGCAACGGACAAGAACATGCCAGGACTGGCCTGGCCAATGCCGTGCTGTCTTCACTCAAATGCCACGTCCCATCATGTTCCCTTCCTGTGCCGTCCTGTCGCAGTGTGCGTATACTTTTAGTGGGACTGTAGCCGGTTGGTAAGCGTGAACGTCGTGCCAGTCCCCTATATGGGATTATCACATCACCATTCACTACGTATCGTCCGTCCTAGAAATCGCACGTCAAAATGTGAGGGGTCGTTAATCATTAGCTTTACACAAGCTTAGACTTGTGACCGATGTTGTTTGTGAGGAGGTGAGCGCTGGTTGATGGAAAACACATTTCAATATATTTTTTTTTAAACACAATTACCTACAAATGACTTTTTATTCTTGTACAGTTAGTTTGTCTTCAAGCTTTAACCAATAGTTCCGTATGAGCTAACCTAACCTTCAAAAATAATTAGTTTTTCATGAAATTATTACGTATTCCATACATGTGCTGCTTTTCTAGATTTTCAACATACTGGTAATATTCTACAAATGCTATTAATTCAGCAATTGCGTTTACCTTTGACAATAGTCTTAAAACATCTTATAATGATATTACACTGAGGGCAACCAGCGAGAAGGTGTGTGAGGACAGTTCTTGTGGTTCTTTCGTATTTGCATATGGATGAAATTGATTTATTTGAGTTAGCGACAACGAAATTAGAGATCTTTTAAAGAAGGGAAGTTCAAAACCAGCAATACTCGGGCGGAAGATATTAAGCGATAATTGAATTTGTTATTGAGTTTTTTCTTCCCAGATTTCCTTGAGGATTCTTAACCATGCGGAGTAAAATGTTTCTTGCACCCGATAAGCCATTCGGAAAGGATATGTTATCATTTGGAAATTTGTGATCGAAGCTACTCTCGGAACAAATACGTCCTTTGCAATTAGGGGACATGTTTATAACTCTCTAATTCATATGCTAAAATTTCGCAAAACCAATTTAAGATTTCTCAAACAAGCCAAAATCAAACATCTATCTCTCAGGCTCTTAATTAGTTGAATAATTGTTAAATTGCTATCTTAACTTGTCGCTCTCCAGCGCTTTCTGACGGCCTCGCCGAAGGTAGCCCTAATCATTAAACTTACCGATAGTGTATGAGCAGGCACACTGAACATCATAGCTTCGTTAAAAATAGGGCACTTATCTCCTTTTTTGACGGAAGTCTTCTTTTTGTTTATTTTTTTATTTTGTTGCATCAGATAAACCTAAAATGATTATAAAAATACATTTCAATAGATATTAGTGGAGATTACGTAGGTTATGGCAGCATCATAGCAACTGTTCAGTATCGGTGATTGAATAATTTAGTCTGATGAAAATTGCCCACACGTGTTTTCTGTACCCACTGGCAAATGAATAGTTGCTTGAATCGGATTTTGAATAGATTACGTTGAGATTGCAAGCGCTTGTGCTCTTGTTTCAACAAAAAATTTCACAGGAAATTTAAGGTTCATCCATTGTTTTAGCATAAGGATCATAGATTCATTTGATAGTTCAAAAAATATCTAATCAATTTTTTTCCTTAAATTCTTTTTCGAATTCATTAAGTTGACATTATCAACTTCTACCGTAGGACTTTTATTCAAAAAATTACTGGAGCTGCACTACTAGTAGGTCAACTTACTTTTACGAAGGCTTCCCCAGGTGATTCAGTAGAAAATCTCAAATTCCTCGCTTTCACCACAACGACAGTCAACCTTTCAGCAGTAGGAAGGTAACTAAGAGAAAACATCAATTCTCCGAACTCAGTTCCTTTCTAAAATAAGAACTCTAGGAAGTTATTCAAATCAATTTTGGAAAAATTCAACTTTCTCCTCACCTGACCAGTATCAGTTAATGTAACCCACGTTGTAACAGGTTGTCTGAGACTTATTTCTGACAATCGGATTTCACCTTCACCTACCAGGGTATGTGTTAGAAAATCTGTGGCGTAGACGTGGAAATAAAGCAGCCTCTGAGATTGTTCCCTAGGATTCATGGAAAAAAGGAACCGTTCCTTATAGCTGGGACTGCCAGAGCTTCTGTACACCCTTGTTTGAATAGTGGCTTCTTTGTCGGGTAAGAGAGACACTCGGACGTAAGTGTCTAGCGTATCGTCTTTTTTCACCACACCCGACAGATCCTTGGCTTCGAGGACATTAACAACTAAATCCCAACATTCGCTGAAATCAAATAAAATATATTATAGTCAATAGATAATGGGAAGATTTTCAACTCGTACTGCTTTCTTCATTTTAGATTATTCAAATTGTATTCAATGCATTGGTTGAATGAAAACAGCCGTTTTGGGTCGTATTTGTGTATCTGAATAAATTAATATTTATTTTTCAACTGATTTCAGTTATCTCTGCAATTACGGGAATTTACGGCCTGAACATAATTGAAATATACAGACGCACATTAAAAATTTATAAAACCATCAAATAATGTTTCTTTAATTAGACAGCTGAGTTTATAACATTTACTATAAATCAATAACTAGATGATCTAACGTGGTACCCGACTGAATCACGAAAACCTTACTTGAGTAAGTCAAGACAATACCGCCACGCTCTGGCCTATTGTAAAACAGAATATCAACTTTCAAAGATAAAAGGGTGCCTCTAACAATGATTTCTGCAAGATTACATCCTCTCTTCCTTCAACCTTCATTACAAACGATTAGATTAAACTGGAGGTGTTTTGGAGTTCTCTACATCGGCATCGGTCTGTTACAGAGGCAACCTGATCTTATTGTTGATATGTAACATTGACTTTCTTTTGAGTTTTTTCTTTTTTTCGTTTCTTAGTTCGTTTTCATCTTAGGGTTTTTAGCTCCCCTAAAACGAATGATATGTCTCCGATAATAGTAACAGGAAATCATACCGTTAACATTTGAAATTGAACGTTCTGGACGACGTGAAGTTCTGAAAATGATAAGGTATGTCGCTTCAATGTGATCTATCTATAACAAAGCGAGTGGTCGAAAATCTAACTCCAAGCTTTTTTAAACTGAGTCAGTTCCATTGAGTGGTTTCCTGTAACTAATTAGTACGTAATGAATTTAATGAAAATAGCAATTTTTTTCATTTTCATTACCACGAGCGCTACTTTAGTCATTGTTACCGAATAAACTGTTCTGTTTCATGTAAGTTCAAGTTATAGATATGCACGATATGCTACTTTTGGTTTTCATATATGCGTTGTATTTCCACAATGGAGGGGTGTTTTGGAATAGCAGTGAAAAATTAACAATTTGATAAGTATCAACACAATCGAAAAGATACATTGATTTTCATTGTCGATGAGAAGTTTAATGAAATTTTTGAAACATCTAAAAATTTCATGATATACGAAAAAGTGATTTCCGTGCAATTCAAAGTTCATATATGCGAAAATAATTATTTCGAAAGAGTTTTTTCCAGCTTGTGTATGAACAAAATCCTGTGCATGATATACACATATTTGGAAATAGTTATGTCTGATGTGTTTAATTTTTTTCAACTTACTTTTTTTGAAAGTTTTTCACTTTCAATATAATGATGGAAAGTTGAAAGAAAAAACGAGTTTTTCTAAAAACTAATCTTTCCGATTTTAATTATTCTACCACACGTCTTAGTCACTCTCAAGAGAATACTTAAGAGATGCAAATATTTCTGCTGAAGTAAGCTGAAGTGGTTCAAGTACCTTCATAACTGAAAATTTGTTATTTAACTCATTGCATAAAAAACTAAAATCAACTTTCCAAATTATCTGCATGATTATACAGGTTCCAGTTGTTCTGCACTTTTAGAGTCATGGAAATTGTCAATTATTAAAGATTTTACAAAATTTGTGAAACATATGAAAATGAATCCTCTGAAATTCTTCAGATTTTCAGATTTTGTGGAATCCCTGATGATTGTAATGAATTTTATTGAAAACTTGGAATATGTGATGCACCTAAATGACGAGACCTGGGGGAAGGGACTCATTATATGTCTGTTGAGGAAATAAGGAGAACTTCAATTTTTTTCAAAAATATTTATTCAATAATCAATTTCTATTTCGTTCCCTTCAAAGTAGACCACCTCAGATATGGAATACTTATGCTAGCGTTTTTTTCCAATCTTCAAAGCAGTGCTGATATGCATTTTTTAGTATGTCCTTGAGCTTCTATCGTCCCAAATCGTCGTTCTTTTATGGGTTTCTTTAATCTCAGGAGCAAAAAATAGTCGTAAAGTCGTAAACGTTTTTTTCAGGCATCGGTTTTCTCCAAGAAGATGAATGTCTCGGAACCGGATATGATAATGTGAGGTCAAACAATTCCGCTTTCTGCTTTGATCAGTTTGTTGGGGTAAAAATGTGTTGTTTAAAATATGTTTCTTCCATTAACCAGCTATCGCACCCCTACGAACGACAACTCTCAGAAGTCGAAACTTGTGCGAGCTAAGGACTAACGGGGTATTACCTTTCAATGTGATTTCTAACGCGTCTTGGCAAAATAATGTGGCTGGAATTGCAAAGACTGCTTCTCAAAAGCTTGGAACACTGTTACGAACCAGAAAAAGTACACACCTCAGCAACTTTTGATGCTTTATAAAGATCAGACCAGACCTTCTTTGGAGTATTGTTCTCATGTATGGAGCTCTGTCCCCTAACATTCCCCTAATTTGCTGGATTCCATCCAGAAAAGAGATATCCGCCTGATTGGAGACGCGAACATCACGTGCAACCTTGATAAATTGGAACATCGAAGGAGGGTTGGAACTTTGTCTCTCTTCTATAGATACTTTCATGTGAAGTGTGCAAGTGACTTGGCACATTTATTCCACCAAGAGCTGTACATATCAGAAATACGCGACGGACTGTTGCTGCTCATCGTTTTGAGGTTCAACTCAGTACACCCCGAACTTCACTGTTTGAGAACTATTTCATCTGGAGAACTGCGTTCATGTGGAATAAACTTCCTGTGAACCTTTCAAATAGATTCAATATCAAGCGATTCAAATCCAATGTGAATCGCTACTTTCGCACAGGCACCGCTCTGAGATCGCTTTTAGGATTTTCCTGTAGTGCTTGTGTTTTGTCCTTAAATTTTTTCTCAAACATTTTCATCGTTCAGGGCGAGCGTCGGCATTCACATCTTCTCGATCTTCTGTGAAAAGCTTCAACCATTTGTGAACATTTTTCAGAGTATAATCATCGTATGCCAAATGTTTTGAGCATTTTATACACAAAATTTGATGAATATAACTGGAATTTTACCCTAACACCAATGGGCATGATGATTTGATAAAAGTTAACTTTAAAGAGTAATTGATTGATACGATTTTCATAACCATGTTTTCGGTGCAGTTTTTTTTATCAGTTTATATATTCTATTTATGTTTTTCTATTGATTTCTACTGTTACTATGATTTGTAATGCTATTTGTCATTCTGCTTTCTTTGACATTAATGATATGTGAGCAGGCACAAAAATCATCTTTATTCAACTACAAAATCAAAATTTTTGACAACATGGCCAATATTTTGAATAAATCTCTTGGTTATTGTCTGCAAGCAGTTGTATTGAAAAACGAGTTTTATATTTGTTTCAATTCAAATGTGAATTCTTTCTATCCACCAGCAAGCATATTCCACTTGTACCTGCTTGGTTTTCTTAGTTCTATTTACGAGTTCATTTTCGAAGATTCAACTTGGACTTTCCACGTTCTATTTCTTCAGAACTTTGTCGGAAATTTCATTTGGTCCTACTTTTCTCTCCATCTTCGGAGCCCGTATTATCGGAGCTGTTTACTCGTATGATCAATCGTCCTTTTGCTGTTTTTCCGCCTGAGTGAGAGTTTGCATGTTCCACTGCTTTTCTCGTTCTATTCTTTAGGGATCTTTGTCAGATATTCTACTTGGTTCTGCTATTTTGTCGTTCTCTTTCACCTGTAGCCGCGTAGTACTAGCGTAGTAGTCGATACATGAATTACTTTGACCGTGAACCAAGTAACTCAATTTGGAGAAAGACGGAGATTGTTTTGAAGCATTTTCCGTGGAGTTTTTAACGCCTTGCCTTGTAGTAACAATGTATTATTTAACCTGCTCACTACTTCTAGCATCGTTTTATTTTTCTTAGCCCCTTACCGATTGTTACTTTAACACCACAGCACGCCGATCCCTTACCGTTTGTTGTTTTAACATAGTTGCACGCCTCTTTCGTTCCTCTAACTAGTTACTTTAATATTGATTATAGCGGATTGTTTGCAATATATATTTAAAAGTCAAGTAAAATCTGACTTTCTGGCTACCGATGGTGTTTAGATCACACAGTCCCCTTAATTACCGTGTCTCTACTGTACCTGTCCGGTGTACTGGTGCTCGTATCACTATAAATTCTCAAGACTTTCGTTTCAGATCTCTTAAGCTCCTGTCATGTATCAGGAGCACAGTGATCTGTTGGAGACACTACAGCTCTACTTTTTGTCAATGAAGTTTCATCGTAATAATAAGTTTACCAAAATCAAACAGTTAACAATGTAATAATCGAAACGATCGAAGTTTAGCAAAATCAACCATTCAACAAATTCAGTACTCGAAAAGATAACTAGCTACCTGTCATATTCTAGGCCTATACATAAATAACCCGTGATATTCAACATTTCCAAGTCTCCAAGGGCTACAGAGGTATCCGAACATACACTATCACATGAGATGGCCCTTTTCAAAGATGAGTGTATCACTTCAACTTCCTCGCTTGCTGGTGGAGGGACGAGAGGTTGCTGGGGAAGATGCCCCTGTTGTCCTGGGTGAATATAAACTCCGCATAACTTCAGTGGCGGGTTGTGGCTCAATTGAGGTTGGTTCGTACCCAAGACGGGTCCCTGCGGACACGATGGGCTTGGAGGAGGGGTGATGCAAACCGGAAATGATGATTGAGAAATCAGGGTCGCCATATTCACAGAGGAGACTGGGCGCGGAATCGGCGATATTGATGTCTTTTCCGAGGAACGACATTCTTCAGGGCTGGAAAAATATATATAAATTGATTATTGTTATAATGCGTAGAACAAGCAGTTTATTCGGTACTTTGATATATCATTGAATAAAACATAAATAAGATATCTGTTCTGACATAAGATTCGCGTGTCTAGTAAACCCTTACCCCAGAAAAATTATTGAGATCAGAACTCTATTTTTTCTTTTTTTTCGAACCTCAAGTGTAATACCTTGAATAGCGGAGGAATAAATTTCAGATGAAAGAATTCAATTAATGAATTCAACTAAATATCTGGGATTCTTGATGGATAACACTCTATCATTTGAGGAACACTTCAAGTATATTCATGAAAACATTTTAAAAAAAATATTCATTTTCTCTAGAAGTCAACCAAGTCAAGTATCAAAGTTTACAAGCCAATTGTTCAGCCGCATTTTGACTATTGTTCCTCTATCCTATCTATTCAATCAGAATAAATTGTCTCAACCCCAAAAACTTCAAAATCGTGGTATGAGGATAATTTTGAAGTGCCGTAGGGATACCCTTATTATGCTTAATGTTTTAAATTGGCAATACATTTCCCAAAGACTATCATATTTCACAATGCTTTTTGCATACAAAATATTGAACAATTTAGGACCATCTTATTTCGAACAGTACATTGTCTTTCATCATGATATTCACCACCACTTCACTCGAAATAATAATAATTTATATATAAATC